ATATAGGGTGTCCCAAGACACGCTCAATCCAAAATGGACCGTAAAAATCGATGCCTGCATGTAGCCATCTGAACTTTTCGTCAAAGGTGTAATTCACAGGTCGGTTTTCTCTTGTAAAATTACAAAGCGTAGCTCTCTTTCTGTAAAAAATAGGGCCAAGAAACTTGCAAAGGTAAACGGCAGGCGGCGACCCAGACAGCCAAGTCAAGTAGCGGGGTGGGTTTGGCGCTCGTATTGATAGATGGCACTACCTCCTTTTCAAGACTACTCGCAACCACCGTAGTTTATTAAAACGGATGTTATCTTTTTGTAATGTACCTCTGGTTAAAAAATAAATGCTGACAATAAGAGCAAAACTTAAAGGAAAACAAAACGCGTTTGCATAACGATGGCACTTTTGCTGCCAACAGATTTCGTCTGAGTGTCGTCTGCTTTCTTTTGCTAGTCGGCTACACCTTCGGACACTGCTCCCGATGCCATCTATGATTACGCGCGCCAAACGCATTCTGCAACTCAACTCGGTCGTCTGCGTCGCCACCCGCCATTGACCCTGGCAAGTTTCTTGGCCCTATTTTTTAGAGAAAGGGAGATACGCTTTATAACCTGGTGACCAGAAGCGGAAGGATCTCTAGAGCACCGGCACGATATAGACAATAAGTCTTAGAAGGGAAGGTGTCGTGTCCAGAGACTGAAAGAAGTCTGGCAACTCTGGGTCGGGGAGAGACGCCATATTAAGAGTGGGAGACAAACGTTCGTCTCAATCTCGTCTTTAACGTTCTTGGAGGTTCGCACACAATACACGACAATAATTTTAGAAAAAAAAAAGACCGACCTGTGAAACACACCTTTAGAAAAAAGTTAGATTGTTACGTGCAGGTGTCAATTTTTACGGTTCATTTTAAATCGAGCCTGGCGGCTTGGGACATTCTATACTTCCAGTGAACGTTATAAAGCCAATAATCCAATCGAATTCACTTAGTAAAAAAAATACATGGAATATGAAACGTCGTGGGAGCATGTGTCCACGAAACGTTGCACAGTGTCGACAAAACGCGTGTTCATGAAAAGCTGTCCACAAAAAGCGTTTCAATGAATTATGTTTCGATAAAATGATGGGGACTCGTTCACGAATAATGGGAAAATTGTTTTACAAGGTGATTACCAAAATGACAGCAATAGCAAAGTTACAAGGTCAAGTGTTCATAGTCCAGAACATGGCAAGCAACGCAAGCAGCAGCTTCGTGAAGCAATCACAAGTTACAACTGTCCTAGCTGGCGCACCAGCTGTTGTCTTTTTGGTCGTGGGCGTAACCAACATAAATCTCGGGCTATGACCTACCGTAATCAATGTACCTTCACCTCCCCCAAAACCCATATCATCATAGTTACAGTTGGGCACACAAGGACAAGGACAGAGAAGAGGAACACATAGACTACCTTGTGTGCACAACTGTAACTATGTTCAATATCTACCAACTCGCCTAACTGTCTACTCTACTACCATATCATCAGTATGGTCCCAGTCAATATCTTCCCGTCATCTCTAGGGCCTAGACGGCCTACGTACCTTGGCAGCACCTGATGCACATGCTGGCTAACTATTGACAGCTGAACTTAGAGTTTACCCAAAGGATTAAAAACACAGGATTGACTGAGACGTAACCGGCACTTACAGCATGGGCGCAGCAGTCCTCAGTGTTCACCCTGTGCCCAACTGTCTTTGCAGAGAAGCCATTTCAAGCTTCTTGCACTCGAGTGAGAAAAAGGCATACAGAGGCCATTTTTCGTTGGGGATGCAAGCACAACCACTGCATAAAAGGAGTCGCCTGCTAAACACAATGCTGAATTCACTAGAAATCATAACCAAATCCATGGCTGCTGAGCATGTGCAGACAGCGAGCTTCCTCAGCACCCCCACAATGTGCATTCCACCATCGTGATTGGCCCTTTTGGCAGACGATAAGTGCAAGCTCATACTCAGCATGCAAAGATATCAACGCATTTCAATATGGCGTCCGGTGATTACGCCCTATATGCTAGCTTATGTGAGCCCTGAAGTCTCAACTATTATTACCAGTTGTTGCATATGGTACTGGAATAATTATATGTTACCTGGAGACATCTACCCTCATCTAACCCATCCTTTCCTTCATTTTACCTCAGTGATTCTCAAACGGGGGTCTGTGGACCTTTTAGGGTCCCTGAAGGCCTTCCTAAGGTTCACGAAGCCCTCAAGTTGAGCCGAGCAATTCAACGTTTCTTTTACTTACGCTAGCTGCCCACAAAACTAAACAGACCAAACCATGTGCAAAAAGTGAGTAGGGTTGATTATTCTCCATTTCAGAGCTTCAAAGTTGGTTATCATGCATTTTGTTTTCTTCATTCACCCTTTTGTCATTGTAATCGTCCAAAACCCCTTCTCCCCCTGGTAAATGGGGTCCCCCATCACCTCCACCGATTCAGAAGAGGTTTCCGAAACGTCAGTGGCCGAGAACCACTGTTTTACCTTATTTTCTGAAATATGCAAACACTCATTTTCTCCCATCTTTTTCCCTCTCACTTTATCCATCCATGCCCAGTTTGTTTTCTTTTGGTGGCAGGGACTGGACTTGTACCACAGAATAACCTAACCGTGTCAACCACATGTCTCCCCCAATCAGATTTGAGACCCACAACAAGAATGTTGGTCTCAAATCTCCAAGCACACCAGCAAACATTCTTTTCGCAAGGAGAAGTCGAAAATAAGTGCATTTAAGAAGGCGCATGCTTACAATTTTGCACAACAGATTAGGGGGCTGCTGATACAGGACATGATTCATCACGATTAGAGTTGTTCACAACTTTTAGCAGACAGAAGTAGATGTCTGGTCTGCTTTAGAATGACTTGACAGATGGGCAGAGCAGGTGTCTACTTGCATCTTAGGAACGAGCTTCCAACGTGGGCAATAAGACTCAGCCAGTCACACCCTCTGCTGACTATCAACAAGGCCTCCCCCACTGTTGTTTATCCCAAACCTCCCAAAAACAAGACAAAAGAAGATGATGGCAAGGAGACACCTCCCCGCCCGTCCGACCTCTCACTGACATCACTTGAAAATCGTGATGCCTCGAACTCGGCAGCGTGGCTGATGTCCTCAATGAAATCGTAAGCGCGTGCTGTAGCGGAGATGATTTCTAGAAAGGGGGTACAATTTTTTCCTGTGCACAGCATGTGTTCATCGAAGACAGTCGTTCATATGAGCAACTGAGTGCTTACCAAGTTCAAGGCTCTGGGGACGATTTATGCTGCTCAAAGCTCTGCATGGCATCATAAGCATGTTTTAAATATTTTCTATTTTATTTTTTATCCCTTCTTTCCTCTTCCCCATCACCTTCAGGACAAGAAATGTCCCCATTTGAGAGGACTGCCCCCAGATTCCCAATCTTTCCTTTGTAACAATAAAATATTAATACAACAGTAGACTACTTTCTTAGTTCCCTGCATACCTACTCTCTTCTTCACTGGTATTACTCTTCAAGAAACAAAAATGCCTGGGTGTCCAGTCTTGCACAACTTCCACATAGCCAAATAATTTAATTTGATTTGAAACATTCAATCAAATAGCTTGAGACTAAAACTATGAAAGACGTTTACAATTCTCTGTGACACCGAATTAGAGCACAGCTCTTGAGGAGGAGGACGGAAGGGTATGTCCCTGCTCCCTCTCTGTATCCGTTTCTCGTCCTCTGCTGCTCCCCTCCCATTTAGCACAAAATTTTAGCAAAAAGTTTTTCGCAAAATTTAGCGGGAATATTTCCCTGCGAAATTTAGCGCGCAAATTAGCAAAAACTTTCTCGCTAAATGTAGCGGGAAAACTGAATTGTTGTTGAGGTCACGCAAGTTGGGAAACGTCCCATAATGCAACGCGCAGTTACGCCAGCGGCGACACCCGACGGCACTCAACCCGGAAACGGGCGCCTAAGAGCTGCGCTCTAAAAGAGGAACATAAGAACAAGAGTCTTTGCCCCCTCAAAAAAGATTTCTGGTATCACCACTGATCTGCCTTTTTTCTAGTTTCACGCCACAGCCCCAAACTCAAGGTGTAAAGTCTGCACCAGCTTGTCTGTATGCTTCCCAGTATTTGAAAGCTGCAGTGTTCAATGTCAAATATAGAAAAAGGAATGAGCACACATGACCCTCAAGTGCATATCTCTCAATCTGTCGCACTACTTCAGCTCCCACTTCAGATAAATACCATTCATCAGCATCAGTTTGGTTTACTGCAAGAAAGAAAATCATCTCTGTCCTCCTCTTCCAAACTGGGGGAGTAACGAAAGGAGAGGTTTGGGGGAGAAGGAAAAATGGGAAGTGAAAGTGTATGTCAGTCGTTTAACAGCAACATACTATATACAACTTGGTAAAAAAAGGAAGTCAGATAAAAATGGGGCACGGTATCCTTGGATTCTATATTTTTGTTTCTCTTGAGGAGGTCCTAACAGAGTGATGATTTTGTTCCGAAAAATACACTCTATCAAATTCACCAAACAAAGTCCAGTCGAATTTTGTTTGAACTTGCGAGAAGTTTGAGAGGTGTGAACCTGGTCGAACTCGGAGCTTGCAAGATCAACCTCTATTTAAAACTATGCGAGTGCAGTCGAAATTGATTGTATGACGTATATGAGAAACCTTGAAATTTGATTTGAGAATCAAATGTTTGGGATGATCAGCCAATTTCACTGACACTCTGTTAACCGGCAACCCCAGACATAAATTCAAAAGCCTGTCTAGAAATAAGCTGTTGCACATCCGCTGAAAAGTCTAAAGAAATGTGCTCCCATCAAAGTACAACTGCGTTCTCTGGAATGTACATACTGTAAGTAAAAACACAAGTTTTCTTAAAAGATGCTTAAGTATATACTAATTTAACTACAAAGTACAATTGTGTCCCATTATATTATGAATCTCGCATTCCAGTTTGTCTTACCTGTAAAATCATTATCACTGCATGAACGAGAGGTAATCCAAATGCAGTAGGCCCTTTTTATTTAACAGTATTAACAATGTCACTTCTAGCGTGTATTCTAACCTGTTTTCACATGGTAGTCACATGTAACTGCATCCAGTTTTACCCTGTGGGAAGAAAACATGGCTGTCCATGTGACAGCAAACTCAATGCATGACAAATAAAATCTAATGGAGCTTAATAAAAAAAAAAGACAGCCACACAGCCTTTAAGAGGGTCTTGAAACAGGTTATAATTTTCTTTTCATCTATATATTCTTAAGAACCAAATTATAGCATGTCCGACACTTTCCAGTGGTTTAAAGAGGTCACGCAAACTGCATTCTATGGGTCGCATACCACTCTCTGGGAGTTATTACTGTGGCCTGGTATGCTTGTCCCCAAACAATCAGCAAAAAAGAAAACTGATGTGGCCCTTGAAAGCTTAAAAGCTCATTAACCAAGAGAGGGCACACACTAAAAGAATCATCCCCAGCAGCAGGTGTGCCTTCTAACAGACTCGCAGGAGGGTTCCATTGACACAATGCCCGTCAAACGCCTTCAGGCTTACTGCAAAACCAAAGGCAACAACTGTATACTAAAATGGAAAGGTCAATCTCAAATAGCCAAATCCAAATGGTTGCCAGCAGTTTTGAAAAAATGAACAGAAACAGAAAAAAAGGAGGCAATATCCTTTTAACCAGGACAAACCAACCAAAATGACATGCACGGTCTGAACAACGTTGATGTATCCAAACCATCTCGTGGTTCAAACAATTCTCACTCGCGGTGTTTCACTGCCACCCCCGTGGTATCACTGTGTAAGCTACTAGGAATGAGCTCGATTGCACCCGATTAATGAGAGTGCTTCACTATTCCACATTGGCCCACTTGCATTTTGGCGCGGCGCCGAAAAGAGTCTCGCTCCGAGACCTGGAATCCTTTGGCGTAACCTGTTCGAACGTTGAGGGGAGATGGATGCGAGAACAAAAGAACTTAGAAACCCCCAACAAAAAAAACATAAAAAAAAAAACACAAAAAAGACTTTTTACAATGCGGCATTCCGTCCGCATCAGTATCACTGCCGAGTTCCCCGTCGTAGACTCGCCGACCTCAACGGCGAGCAGCACGGAAATGGAAACGTAAAATCCCAGCCATTCAAAAAACAAAACCAAAAAAACTCAAAACACGTTAGTGTGGCTTGATGCTTGGAATTCAAATTGGAAAAGATTCGGTCCCGAGCTTATCCGGCGCTCATGTCTGGCATCTCTGGAAGCGGCCCCACAAATCACTGTGGCAGTGGCAACAGAACTCGGCAGTCCACTTTCACAATGCAGACGGATCGGCAGGTCCATGTTTGTAGTGCCGACGGATCGGCAGTCCGCTTCCGCAGTACCGCCGGATCGGCCGTCCGATCTGGGTCGTCTCTCGGGGGCCACACCGCGGTCGTGCGAGGGAACTTTCGCGTTGGGCTTAGGACGCCTGCCACTTGAATTTCCCCTGCATGACCCAGCGCTGGGACGATCGGCCGTCGCACTCCTTCAGGACGGGCAGGGATGGGTCGCTCGAGGCGGGCTGGTCCAAGCAGCGGGCCGTGTTGACGTGCTTGAACGTCTGCTCCTGGTCACGATTGGCACCAACATGAATGCAAGGAGAGACGGCGAGTTGAGTTAGTATGTTCAAAAAGATCCCATGCGGAGCGCAAGTTTCTCTGCTTCTTTTACAGGGGTCGTGGCGACGCGACGGCAGAACGCCAAACTCCGATTGGTTCTAATTGAAGGATAGTGGATAGACCTCGAGGTTTTGAAGTTTACCCATTATCCCTCTATTAGTCAGGGACAGCTTAAAAACCAACGTAAAACCTCGTTTTTCTGCAGGGAAAATAACAGACTTAGTGCTCCCCCTCTTCTAAGCTGTGAGGGGAACCAAGGTGGGGCGAGGTAAAAAGTGGGGAGGATATATAGGAAAGGAGGAGGCAGGCAGAAGTGGAAAGCACAAAGTGTACTTCGGCCTTTAAGGCAAGTCCCAAGAAATTTGTTATTGCCTTGCAATTAATCAAATTGTGGCACTGACTGATAAGAACGCCAAGGACTGAACCGCGGAGCAAGAAGCGTGAACATAACGAGTCATGCCCCACGTTTCTTAAGCTGTCATTGGTTATAGTTTGCCCGTCAAGTGCAACACCGAACTTCATGCTAAGTAGGTATATTTTGTTGCACCTTAAGATGGACCACACCTGAAGCGTGGGGCCGCTAATTCAATTTTCTCTCAGTTAGGATACATGTGGTGTATCGCTCTCCGACAGGTATATCAGTGCTCCAAGATGTGTGCACTAATACATGCGACAGAGCAATGTATACCACAGGCTTTTTAAGGGCATCAAACGTGAACCTGGCAGCTAGTATGTTTGGCTTTAGTCCATCGTGGGGTGAGAAAAAGTACAATAGGGTTGTGTCATACAGATCACTGCTTTGAACATCATGAAAATAAATGAGGTATTGCTGAAATTCTCAGCCAGAATGTAGTGAAAGCAGTTGGAACAAGCTATGTCAGAGCATCAAAACTTGCAGTTACTGGAATAAAAGTTTAAAGCAAAGAAACTGCCTGGCTTAGACAATCCGTCAGATGTAATGAAGGGGCGATAGCAGTTGATGGGGTTGATAGGAAAGGGCTTGCTCATGTTGGCTACACTGTAGGAGGGCATCACAGGAGAGAAGGGGGGAGGGAGGGGGAAGTGTAAGTAATATGCTAACAGTTGCATTCTATTTTAAGTACTACCTTAATTCAGCAATTAAAGAAAAAATTAGTAACGCTCTGCTAGCAGTCAAACTTTTGTTTTACTATGGTTCTTGAGATTGCCACCATTTTCTCTTCACTTCGACTTATACCGTGAGCATTTGGGACAGAAGCAGACAGCTTCTGTCCCGAATGCAAGCTGGCAATGCTAAAACAAACAAGGCTCTGTACCTCTTGCACCTAAAAAAGCTTTATATCCTTGTACCACGACTACGAGCCATTGTTTTATACCTTTTGTACCTGCAAAAAAATATTTTGCACCTCTTGTCCCGAGTACCAGGACTCCAAAAGAATGTTCCGAAGCCCTGGCAGATGGACTGACCTCCTTGTCATAGATCCAGAGCTGGTTGCCCCCCATGCCGTGGCAGCGCAGGAGCTTGACGGGACCCCTAGGAGAAGAGGCGTCCAGGCAGTTGTCGTCAGACATGATCTGCTGCCGCTTGGTGTAGGCAAACACCTGGTTGCCCCCCTGGCCGTGGCAGGTGCTCACGGCTACGTTCTCGCCACTCTTGCGGCCAAACGTGTCCAGGCAGACCGGAGAGTCTGCATGCTTGATCTGGGAGGAAGGGAAATCGGCAACAACCGGGAGTCGGTGTACACCCCAAGTAATTTTCGTAATGGGGCACGACACCTTACTAGGAGGTGTCGACTCAAGAGACCGGTTCGCACATTTACGTCTGAGCATGATCGGCTGCTTGGCAATCGCTCGTCACCACTTGCGCCGCAAAAATTTTAACTGGTCTCGATGGTTCCGATAATCCCGGGGAGCACAGAACGTGCTGTGCGTGCATTGCGGGGAGCTTTGGGCGGCTTCAGACGCATTGCACGCAAAACATACTATCGTGTTTTTCAGGTTTACCGGAATGATTGAGACAAGCTAAATTTCTTTGGGAGTGGAGTATGTCATGAGCATGCTTTAAGAAACAACATTCAGCCTTTCCACTCTCGTGAAGAGGGAAGACCACCGGAGCTGTACACGATACACTGTCGCAACGCGCACGCGCCCATTTCCCGATTCTTCTTGTCCGACACGCCGCCGATCGTGGATACGTCTCCGGCGAACCAGAGTCGGTCGCACACGGCGCACGTGACACCAGATGGGTTCTCCACGAAGTCCCTCCGGAACCTCGCCGTCGCGCACGGGAACTGTTCAGCTGGCGTGGAGCGCAATCGTCACCGGGCCTCGCGCTTGTGCTTGGCCTCCGTGGCACGATCGTCGTCCGTGGCGTTGGCCCGCCAGCACCCTTTACATCGCTGGTTTTGTTCTCCGCGACGGCTTTCCAGGCGAGCGATGTGCTCTTCTTTGGCAAGGGAATCTAAAGCGTTGGACGCAGTGGAAGTCGAGGCGACAGTGGCTTTCCGGTAGTTGCGGACCTATTCGCGCTGCTGCGTACATCACCGCTCTTTCCGCAGCCAGACTCTCCCCGAAAGGGCGTGCGGCCGACCCATCCTGAGTCCAAACTGAAACTGATAAGAGTGCAGGAAACAGCGCGCAAAAAACAGACGAGGACGAAGAAACACACGTGACGAGCGTGCGCTCATTACGTGTGCTTCTTCTCCGTCGTCGTCTGTTTTTCGCGCTGTTTGCTACTATAAATTCCCACCAATGCGCCCAACCATCCATTCTTTTATGATAGCTGGAAAGGTTGCCGCCATCTACGAGTGACGGCGACAACCAGACTGGTTGTGTGCTTGCCGCCGTCGCTTATAGATGGCGGTAGCTGTCCAGGTAGGTTTGTGTCGACATGCGTTTGATACCGGACACGATTCTGGGGAACCTAGCCCTTAAAGGACAACTCCGCTCAATTCCTGGAATTTCGGGGTTTTTGGTGATTATACATTAAGGTATACTAATAAACGGCTCGACGTCGTTTGTTTCTCAAAAAAGGAAATATAATTCTCGTAATCCTTCTTTACTCCTGATCACGAACCGAAACCGAAACTGCGCCCGCGCCTGGCAACATTGGTCCCGTGTCGTCATAGTCTGGGACAACCCACGTGGTACGAACGTCACCGCACGACCTCGCCGACCGCGCGGACGGACGGATCGGCGGAGCAAGCGTCGTCACGCCGTGTCGTCTGCTCCACGGTCTCTGCTATCCAACGACGTGTGCACTACCGCGGCCGCAGAGTGTTTTGACGCAGAAAAAGGCAAGTTGTTTTAAAGTTATGTTTTGGAACCATTAGTAGTTGAAGTTAAGTAAACCACTCGTAATATGCCAGGCATCGCAGCACAAAACGTTGCTCCGAGACGCAGCAGGTTCGGTCTTCCCGACGACGAGCGCGGAGCGCTCGCTCAGACACTCATCAGCGCATGCGCGTTTTGGATCACGTGGACATCGGTATGCACGCTGCTGGCGCCGCCTGCAGGCTGCGCCTCAATAAAGTAAAAAACAAGAAAAAAAGCGGTCCCAGACTATGACGTGTGGCGCAGTGTTGGCTGCGCCAACACGCGGTATTGACTGCGCTGTTCTCTGCGCCGCACATCGGCCGCTAGAATTAGCAGATTTCGGAGACTTGAGGCATCTCAAACTTTGTTTACCAGTTTAACAAACTTTTAGGCTTAATTACGTCGTAAAACTTGACGTGTAGTCTTTCTAGGTGATACTAAAGAGAACTGCGTTGTTTTTTCAGCATCGAAAATGAAGCGGAGTTGCCCTTTAACAGCTCCGCTGTATAAGTCTTCCGTGCAGCTTCTTTCGTGAGTGTGCACGGGGCTCTGAACTCTTAGCGCTCTTAGGTTGCGAGGAACCCCTCATGGTAACTAAAGTAATCGCAAGGGGCGCAAGGGGAGTAGGTTTGCCGCTCTCTTCGCGTTATATATTGACTGCTGTCTGAAATTGTGGCATCATACGTCTGCTGCGCTACCCCTTGCTACGTTACAGTTAAAGTTCCATGTTTTCAGTGCCTTTTTGTTTTTTTCGAATGTAGGGGCATTTTTTTTGTGGGGGAGGGAGTTGATTTTTTTTTTACAGATTTGTTATTTCTTGCATAAATTGGTTATAACATAACCAGTTGACACAAAAAACATAAAACCTAAAAAAAGAAGCCTGCATAAAAATTTGATAAAAAAAAGCATTGAAAACACAGAGCTTTAGTTATGACCTACCCCGTGATGTCGTGAGTCCATGTGGGGAGCTGCGCTTCGCAATTTGCGATTCGGGAGCCAGCTGCAAGCGCCGATGGTCGCCTGTCGACTAAGTGTGCTGGACCAAGTATGACTCATCACCAACAGTCGACTTCGGATTAAGCGTGCCGGACCAAGCATGACCTGCCACCGACAGTCATCTGCGGACTAAGCATGTAGGGCAAAGTATGACTCGCTGTCGACGGTGGTCTGCGGACTAAGTATGCAGGGCCGAGTAAGACCCGTCACGGGCAGTTGCGAGCTACCGCAGGTGACAGTCAGTAGCAAGTCGCACTTAGTCCAGATGCTTGCGCTCTTTTTCACCTTCTCCTTGTAGCACCAAGCAATGACGTCGGGCTGCGGATCGCACAATCTGGGGTTCGTTTCCTGCCGAGTCCTTTGGTGAATCTTGCTGGTTGCGATTAACTATGCCTAGTTATGATTAGGCAGTGACTATTTCGACGTCCACCGTCAAAATATTTCAGCAATTATTTTGCTGTCTGCGACGTCACTTTCGAAAAACGTCAAATAGTTGCTTTATTATTTCAATGTCGCCCATCAGTGCAGACGTCGCAGTGGTAGCCGTTTCGTGGTTACATTTTGTTTAGTTTCTGATGGCGTTGACGTGTTGACGGAGTAGTGTGTTTGCATATCTGAGAAATTTTGGTCCTAGTTGGCAGGGGCAATGTCTTATTGAGCGTGTGTGTGGGACTGGCTCGAGAGTTGGTCTTTTCGGACGTGACACGCCCGGCAGCGATGTTCTGAGCTCATGCGTCATTTCTGCACGTGTCTCACTTAAAATTTTTAACCTACAACAAAGACGGGCTGGATATCCTTCTGTCTTGCCTGTACGTAACAAATGTAAGTGCCTACACTGATTCCCATCATTTCTTTAACTGTGTTTCGCAAGTTTGTTGTTTAAAGGGAAGATGGGGCACTTCTACATTTGAGAAAAAACGCTTGAATTGCGTTCATTTGGCCTTTAGAATAACAGTTATCAAAATTATATTTCAATGCGACGCGCCGGAGAGCCATACGAGCAATTTCAATATAGGACTGAAGCCCCGTCTCCCTAGCCTTGGGCAGCCAAAAGATCCGTCGATGACGTCACGGACAGCGACTGTCTTTCGTGTTTTTCTCGCGTTTAACAATACTTACGCAGCAAATGGTTTGGGTATTCGGGTTCACGGGGTAAAAATACACCCGAATTCACTTCTAACTCATTTTTTCCAAGAAGCTCCGTAGCTTCCCTTTAATCTAGATTTTCTTTTAGGTTCTTGTATAATGAGCCTCCTTGATGTTTCTTGACCGATGCAAATGGACAAAGGCTGTGGCGCAGTTGTTCGAGATATTCGCATTTTCCAATCCATTGTAAGTTTTATGACACGACATTCAGCTCTTTTGTGTATATGAAACATGTGAAAAAGGCTAGAGGTACATCTAAGGACTTCTTAAGAGTTGTGAATGCGAAAGCATGAATGTCGTTCTTCCACTCTCTTAGTTCGTGTGCAGCGCACTCCAGGGCTCTACTGCAGAGCTTGCGGCCAAAGGCCGAGTGCGCGCTCTCGTGAAGTGGCCGCGCCGCGCTGACATTGGCTGTGCAGCCGCTCCAGAATCCGCCCCAACGGGCTCTGGGAGGCCCCGCAGCCAGCCGCTTCCTATTACCGGCGCGCTGCCGCACGGGCCTGCAGCGCCACGGGTTTGTGCTCTTCGAAACTGACGCGTGCCGGCCAATGGGAGCCTCGTTCTTTGAAAGTATGACACACGCCAGCCAATGAGTGCCTATCCATCAGATTTCAGCCTCACTTCGCTCCTTTTGGAGAGCTGAATTTCGCTTCCGTTTTCAGTGTCTTTTGGCACGGCTTCAAAGCTGGGTCCGTTGGGAGAGGGGAGTTTAGCTGCCGTTTGGTGTGGCTTCAAAGCTCATGACGTCAGCTCGCTCCATGGGACACTTAATGCTTTCACATTAATAAAACGTGAAAAGCAACAGTGCCACAATCTGTAATGTTGGGCACAACCGCGCAAACGTTACGTGCGGGCCCCAGAGCTCATGTTGTACTTTGAAAAGTGTGTTTGCATTCCACATCGCTTAAAAGGGCATAAAAGCCGCAGTCGACTGCACATTTGTTCTTAGATAACACGTGTTGAACCGCAATGCCGCCTGCAGGCAAGATATTTGTTTGACCGCCACTTTTTATCACTTTCCAGTCCAAACTCCAAAGTGCCAAGTTCGAGATGTCGAAATAAAGGTGGAGCAAATGTTTTGACGGAAGATGTAGAAATGATTTTAAGAACATTTTCGCGTCTTCATGAAGTGGCGTTGCGGACGTCGGAATAATATTTAAAATTATTTTTAATGTGCCCGTCGGGACAGTTACTACTTAAGGATTATGTATCAAATATTACTTCCAAGTTTTCTACATGCTTTGGATGCTTATGAATGGTTTGCTCTGTGGTATGCATGCTTTACGTTGCATTGGTCTGCGTGTAGCACCTTTTCGTCGCACTAGAGCATCACACTTCTCGTATGAAGTCCAGTTCATAAACACACTTTGTGTTAATGAAGCTGTTAAGCAGCTCATTTAATCATAAACAGATTAGAATTCCTACGATACTACCAAAAGAGAGGGATACCAGGCTGCGGTTGAAAAAGGTGAACCGACAGTACTAGGTGTCGCAAACTGTTAAAAACTCTTTCTGGAGTGCGAGGAAAACGTGTGGTTTTAGATAACTGATCAGTCATAAATCTAAGCTTGTACTCTTTTTTTCTGGCTCTACTTTTCGACTTGGATCAAGTCAAGCTAGTTTTAAGGAACTTGGCTCTTCTATAATAGTCCCATCTACTTATCTGTGTCGCCACGTCTGCAATCACCCAATATCATTGACTACAATATGGGCCCGGAATTGTTGTGTATGACCAAGACAAGCTTCATTTTTGTGCAAAGTGCATCGGGGAAAAGTACGAAAACATAAACCAGTTAAAAGAAAAGTTTCGTCTGAGCTCTCTTGAAAAATAAAAATAAAGATTTCCACTAAATCAGAAAATCTAAAAAAAGAAAATTGTTTGATTGAACTTAAATTGTTACAATATTTACTGGCCAGTACTTAAAGGGGCACTGACACCCCAAAGGTTGTATTTGTTTTTGTTGTCAAAGACGATACAAGTTGTAGTCATAGATACCCAAAAACTTCCTACAAGCGCCTTTTTATTTTTGGTGTTTTTCTCTCTTACTCACGACCTCCTCGCTTCTTTTTATTTGTGACATAATCGATTATGAAATTTAGAAGCTTTGTAAGCGACATTTCTATAATATTTAATAACGGCATTCGTAAAACATGTTTTTTAACGCAATTGCAAACATACTGCGGCCCTTCTTATGAAATACAGAAAATCGAAGTCTGGAGTGAGGTCGCCTCCTGGTTTCTTATGCTTCCTCAGAAAAAACGGTGGCGCTTGATGCATGTAGCATTGAAGATGATCGGTGAGTCGGGGAATCGGACGAAGTTCCCTTTTTTAGGTGTTTGACGACCTCTCAGACTTTGAAAAGGAGATCGTCAAACGGTCAAAACAACTGGGTTTGGTGTCTGCGTACCGTAGTTTCGGTTGTGACTCCACTGGGGCAGCCATTCACGCAGAACCGGTGCAACGTGGCCCCTCACGTTGCTCACAAAAGTCCACTCTGCATTCTCTTCGACCTCACACCGTTCCAAAGCATTTGAGATCGCTGAAAAAGCCCTAAAAGAACTTCAAACTCAAAAGTCAAGCGTCGTCTGCTCACAGCGATAGGCGGCATGCACGGAGCAGCTGATTGCGGAACGCGGGTGAACACGACACGGAGGCGTGAGAGAAACTCGAGTTGCAGGACGACTCAATCTTTGACATCACAGCACTGGTGCGGATCGCGCAGGAACTTCAAATTCGGAATTGGGAAATTGTTTTCTTACAGCAGAGCTGTTAAGGGCTAGTTTTCCCCAGTATTGTGTCCGTGGACAAATAAATCTCAACACAATGCTCTGGATAGCTACTGCCGCCGCTCATAGATGGCAGCATATTGTACAGCTCCGCTGCTCTCCTTTCTTCACCAGAGTGGAAAGGCTGAAGGTTTTACTTCACAAATACTTAGTTCCCAAGTGTCGAATTTCGAGGGTAATGTCCAGGCATCACTTTCAATCGTTTCAGACACGGTAATAAAAAAAAAAAATTTTTGACTTGTCAGTGCCCTTTTGAAGAATTTTGTACAGGTTTATCTGAAAACACACTGCCTGTACCACTGAGACAGGGATGCATGATGCACGGTATATACTCACTTCTCCAAGATGATAGTAATCCAGTGGCATGTGGGACTCCGGATATATGTTCTCCAAATACCACCGGAAGCTGTTGCACTTCAACTTCTTGCGAAGGTTCCTCCGGTGAGACAAGTCCCCTTTGTCCACATTCTTCGCCGCTGAAAAGAGGAAAAATCAAGGACACCTCGTTAAAAATGCTACAGCCGGACCTTTCCTTGACGAAGCTTTACGTATTGCAAATGATCACACACTTTTTGAGCACCGAAATGAGCCGGTCAGACATTCATACAACACCAATTTTCTTAAATTCACCATTTTAAGAAATCGTTGGCTCAGGAGGTTGTAGTGCTTGAGCACATGCTCAAGTACCCCAGCCTCCTGAACGGGCAATTGTACATATGCACGTAGCAGGCACCGACCTAATAGAGGCATAGCGGTGGAGGCAGAATGTAAATTACCTTTTAATTTTCTATATGACATCTTTTTAAATTTCCTGTTTCGTGCCTACAAGTTTTTCAGTTTAACTTTTCTGAATTTCACTAGTTCATTCGTTAATTTTACAAATAACAGATGCCATAGCTGCAAAAAATGAAATATATATGCTATATACAGTAAAACCTCGTTATAACAAAGTTGAAGGAGCGGTCGTAATTATTTCGTTATAACCATTAGTTTGTTATAGCCAATGTCCATTTCTTCCCACTATTAGCAAGCAAGGGGAATTATGATTGCTTTGTTACATCCATTAGTTTGTTATATCCCGTTTTGTTATAACGAGGTTTTACTGTATATGGTTCCCCTCGAAGAGTAATTTAGCAGCCATCTATCTAAACTTTCCCACCTGAAAATAATTACTATGCATAGAATATGCAATGACCCCAGATTGGGTTGAATTTGGAAATCAAACCATTTACAGTATGCCATGATACAGCAATCCCTAAAGCTTTCTAGATTAGTTTTCTAGATTTTCTAGTCTTCTAGGTTAAAAGGCAACCCCAGTCGAAAACAAAACCAAGATAAATGAATGGTATCACTTTAGTGGCTCGAAATATGATCACAGCCGAAATATTACGTGAAAGTGAGGTTGTGTACTCGACTAAAACCGTTTTTAACCCATTCGCTACCGAAGCCGGCGAATCGTCGGGTGTGCCGTCAGGCGCCAGATTGCCAAAACCGGCGTTTCGCCGGTCTCCTTGAATATTTGTTTTTCTGTTTTAACGAGCCATTCATAGATGGCGCGCTATGTAGACTTGGGGTACTGCAGTTAGACACACTGCCAACAGATTGCGAGAGTCGTCCTGTTCGCTGCGTTTGTTTGAGCTTGTTCTTTCATGTGTCATCATTCCCGCTCGATCGCTGCCTGCTTGGAGAAGATGGCAGTGTGCGGTGTGGCCTTTCTGACGATGAAATCATAGATATCCTTTTCGACAGCAATGGTAACGGGACGTCTGGTGAGAAAAGTGAGTTTTCGGAGCCTTCTGTCGATGACGGGAGCGATTCCCACAGCATTTCAAAGCCCGAATCACGACAACAGCGTACTGGTTGTGCGACACCTAAGCAACCAAGGATGGAGTGCTTCGAGATCTTTCAGACGAGGAAGAATCTATGAGGGCCTATTGATTTAGGGACTTGAAAGAACCACTTAAGAATGTAAATATACATGTTTTCTTGTTTTCTGCACTGAGTTTTACAGTAAAAGCTTATTATACAAGCAAAACAGTCATGCCTAGTGTGGCCCTCTTTTAGGGGGAAAATGTGCAGTACAGACAACCTGGCTGAGGGCGACGCGCACGGTAGCGAATGGGTTAAAGGTGCGACCAGCCGCTCTTTTGCGGCTGGTAAGCAGGTTAGCTTTTAGTCAAGGAACATTGGCGCAGCACCCCCCTGACGTCACATTGCAATGGAGCTCCGGTTGATTGGTTTTACAGCGTACCACAGCACCATGGTGACATCACGTCGCGGCCGTGCAGCTGACGATCAATGTTGCCACCCCTCTAGCTGTAGCAGATAATTTCAGTTTTGCCACAGACACCCAAAACTAAACTTTAAGCCATGATATTTATAGTACTACATACAATAGCGAAAAACAAAAGAAAAAAAATTATACCTTGCAATTTAGGGACACTGCTTTAGTTGAAAACAGTCGTAATCCCAAATTAAAAAATATTGACTAGAGTTGCCCTTTAACTGAATTCTTGCTTCCATGAAATAAAAAGTGCCACTTCAGAGAGTGCACAAACCTGGGTTGATTGCAAAGTAAAACTCCTTCCACTCGTCTAGCCAGACTTCGGCAAGACGGGCATTGTTGTGATTGACGATCTTGCTGGTCCCCCCGGGAAAAGTGTACGGCGTCGACTTCCTAAACACATGACCCACGTGTGAGCAGGGCACAATCTCCAATTCGCCTCCACACATCCATATCTGAAAAGGACAAAAACCAACTTCAATCAATCGACCAATTCATGTTTCACTGCGCCCCCAAACAGCTGGCAAGAGCTAGAGGAGGTGCACATATGTCACAGGTGAAACATAAGCAGTATAAGCAACCAATAGATACTAAAAAGTAAAAACTAAAAAGGGTACTGCTACACCATTATCTGTGGCTGAAAAATGTATGCTTGGTACTAGGTAGGTACCAATCTTTGATAGAACCCTAAACAAAAACAAAATATGATGATGCATTCTGCACTGTTTTTTTTTTTTTCCTTCCTAGTTGCAACTGTCTATTGTCACTAGAACTTTACTGCCTTCATTAATTGTTTGTCTCAACAGGCTGTTTCTCAAGTGCCATTTAGTCGTAAAAAAGTTGCATAGATGTACGTCAATGAACAGTGTAATAAAACTTCACAAAGGTGTCTTTAGGTGGTGCATTTATTGTACTAAAATTTTGCGAGTGTATGAATCGCAAAAGAAATAATAGAAGAAAAAGGATGTACTGCTGGGATTTTACGTTGCAAAGCAACTTAGGTTATGAATGATGCACCAAAGACTCCTCGGGGGGTAAGGGACAACTCAGGGTTCAAAGTCTACTCTTTGTGCTCTGAAGGCCGAAATGGAACCCCTGCGCTAGATAGGCAGTCAAATGGCAAGAAAATAAAAACGCGTTATTCCTATGCACAGGGAGAAAATTGGAACCAAAATGTCTGGTTGGCACGCTGTGCACAGATGGCACCACAAGAAACAAGGACTTGAAGGTGTCTTCCAGACAAACATTCTAAAGCAGATTCAGCGGATCCAAGCTTGTGATGGGCCATCTGTGAGTAAGAGCAAATACCAGATGGTTTGCTTACATTCTTCTTTCTGTGCATAGGAATAACATGCTTTTATTTCCTTGTATTTTTTCCCTGGAACCTACACTAACGAAATCAAAGTATGATGAGTGTATTACCTAAATACACCTTCAAGAAAAGTTCCATTGCACTCCGTTCATTGGCTTAATTAAATGGCTTTTTTTACGACTAAATATTAGCCCTCGAGAACACACTTATAGAACTTTATATGGCCATCAATATATGTCTCGAGCCAGAAACGCTAAGAGTAAGTGCTTTCTTGCTTCTGCCAAATTTACAAGATAAAATAGGTAATAGCATGCTCAGGCATTTGAAAACAGTAAATATCGAGTAAAGTTAAGACATTTATCTGAATTGCAGTAAGAACAGATCAGATATAGGTATGCTAAATAGGAAAGCTGATAAGAAAAGCCCAGTTTAGTAGCTTGTTCTGCTTACCATTAGATGAAATATGTAACTGTACACATGTCAATTAACAAACACATAATGAATTATCTTTAGAACCATGCTGAACACGTACCAAAGCTTTTGGCATGGAGCATCAAAAAGCAAAAAAAGGGTTGTATTACTAATCCTCAACCTGGGCATTAGAAAAATTGCAAACCAAGTACCACAGAATGATGCATATTTAAAATGTAACTGTGCTGGTGGAATCGTTCCTTATGATGGTTTGATAAATTGGGTTGTTATTTAAAAGAAACAGTGAAAATTAACACTTTTTAAAGATAGGGATCTCCAAGATCTTATTGTAATGACAGAATGCAACCTATAGATGGTAAACAATCTTGTCATCTTAAGGCTGCTGAAGACTGCTTACGACGAGATAACACACTGGCACCACCTCTTGGGTAACACTGGCCCACCTTCCAGTCCGCGTACATTTCACAAGTTTTTTTGCATCCTTCTTTAACCATGAGCTTGAAATAAATCTGACCACGTGATAGGCAACCATTTCTCACAGTGCATAGATTTAATCTTGCAAGTACTGCAAAACCTTCAATGGCGTTCACGATCGGAATCGTCTAAGTGCTATGCACAAACTGGCACGACCTCATTTGAACTCCACATAATGCGTCGCAGTGAATTGCAGGAAGTCGCGAAGCAGTGAGTCGCACTCCAGCACAAATGCATGGAGCAGTCTTTGGCGGTCGGTACCTCGCAAATTAAGACTGCTGCACCTCCGGATGCATTCCAAACGTTGCCTAACACCGATTCCTCCCAGAATGACAACACAAAACCATACATTACCCTGAACGAGAGTTCCAGGTTCTCCCCTCCCCAGATGTCCATGCCTTCGTCGTATTTTCCTAGCTCAACAAAATAGTCCTTGTCTATTGCAAAGAGACCACCAGCCATTGTGGGAGTCCTGCCAAAGAGAAGAAAGTTTTCTGTTAGGCATGGGACGAGCAATTTAAAGACCCGTTCGACGTTCCTGATGTAGAGGCACACAGCCTAGCGACTAGAAAAAGAAAAAAGCACATCTGCCACAAAAATAAAGAAATGGCTGCAATAAAATTACACGGTGGTAAAGTTTATTGCAGGCCACTGCAAGCTTCCAGTATATTGGAAAGGGTCACCGGGGGGGCTGGAAGAATGGACGACACTCACATAGCATCCAATCGCACTTGGCAATGTTTCATGCAATCGGTTGTCATGGAAACCAAGCCAGAGACTCCATGATATGTGATCAATTATGGCGAGGCAGCGCAAGGAAAAGCGTGTCCTTACATTGGCAGTATGGCGACTTCAGGGGCGACAAATGGCTACGGTGCTGAGGGCACATCTCTGAACGATGCGTTTACCGCATTCTTAAGAGTGGACCCTCGATTTACGCCCTACGACGTCCTAGAAGTGTCACGACGTAGCTTGCCATGGTTATGATGGTGGCAGGCCACACTCGCATCTGCTCATACTTTTTGCCGGAACCTCTACGACCAACCGCCAGGACTGCGACTTTCGATAACACGACTTGCCGGCTCCAGCAGCGTCATGTGTTGGCACTTCGGAATGACCAGTTGAAGATATGCCCTCTAGCCGCCATACAAGCGAGGAAGGACGAGCAGCAGCGATCAAGACGGCTACGGGACTCACCTGACAGGGAGGGTACGGTCCCCACCTCGGCGGTCAAGCTCTCGCTGGGGCACCCTGTACCAGCGGAAGTTCAGCTTCCAGTTGAAGCCGCCCCAGGTCAGGTCGGAGGCAGAGATGTACTCGAACGTCTCGTCGCTGATGACGTCGATCACGGGACAGACGACACGTGTCCTGGCAAAAAAGGTGCAGGATGATCGTTACTACGGAAGGAGCCCAAGAGAGACTTGCACTAAAAGAATGAGATGCAGACCGGCGATTTCGCAAGATCGGCACTCTCCACACCGATCGTCCTCTCATCGGTGACCACATTTTTGGTTGGCCAGTTGCCGTTACGAGTTGACCAGGTACTTTTAGCTGCTAGGGACTGCAGTTACAGTTACTAGCCAAAGATTAGGGGTATAACTGCACTTTAAGAAACGTGCCACAGGTACTTTCCGACATGCAACCCAAACCCTCTGTCAAATGGTAGAAAGTCGGCACAAGATTTGAATCCCAGCATTTGGAGGCTGGCATTTTACCTAGAATCCATCGGGGCGACTCATTCCCTGCTCACCTGTCTTCCGCAATGCGGGCCAGCAAAGGTTCGAGCCAGTTCTGGGTGCATTCGCAGTGAGCGTCCAGGAAGGTTATCACCTGCCCTTTCACCGCCGCCGCCCCCAGTAGCCTGGCACGGATAAGCCCAGAACGCTTTCCCGTGCGCATCACCTGGTCAAGCAAAGGCAAGAAGAAACACTCAATCACCGGTACATCTATAATGCAGACAATACTAAGGTTCCTGGATTGCGAGTGCCAGACAGGTGTGTTTACTGCACCCTCATTTGTGGTTGCTCGATTTCGGCCTAGCAACATCATTAACTGCTGTTGCCTCACACAATCCTGGCGGTGACACAGGCGCAGATGTGGACATGGTGTACACTTGTTCTGCTGCAGGTTGGCTTGCAGCTCGACTCTACAGAAGATTCAGCAGTAAAAGTTGGGACGCAGCGACAACAGCGACACTTGAGCTCGCTCATACTTTTTGGCGGAGCTTCTGCGTCCAACCACCAGGATCGCAACATCCAGCAACATGACACACCGGCTCTTGCAACAATATTTTCTGCGCCATTTGAACCCACTTTTGATGCGCAAGTGCTACTTCCTGCTATACAGATTATTCGGAGACGAGTTTCATCCCCCATAACGGTACAAAACAATGTTCACAGTTGAAGCCGACAACTCGGGGTGCATGACGCGCAAAATACTGTACACCTCTTGATTTTCGTTGTGCAGGCCTAACTTTTGAAAGATTTGAGAACAGCAAAAAAAAAGTCAAAGCCGTTTACAACTCCCTGTAACGCCGAATTAGAGCGCAGCTCTTGAGGAGGAATGAGTAGGGAAGGGTACTGAGGGGGGGAGGAGGAGGGAAGGGTATTGAGGGGAGGGTAGACCCCTCCTCCTCCTCCTCATTCTCGAATATGCTCCGAAGGGGGCGGTCACATGACCTCGGGGAGGGGGAGTCACGTGACCTCGGGGGGGGGGGGGGGGGGGGGGGTCACGTGACCTTGAGGTGACCTCGGGGGGTCAAGTGACCTTGGGCGGGGTCACGTGACCTTGCAGTTACGCCGACGGCGATGCCGCTCAAGCCAGAAACGGGCCCCTAAGAACTGCGCTCTAAAAGAATGTTAAACTTGGAATGGGGAGCGTGCTGGTAAGGATAATATAAATAATGGGAAAACACAGAACACAAGGACGAACAATCGTCTGGTCCGTCTGTGTTTTGTGTTCATTCCATCATTTATAATAATATTAAAGCTTTACTTTGTTCTGACTTCACCCAAACTTTTATTAGCCTTATTAGTGCAATTTCCCAGGATTCAGTTACCAAAGGTAAAAGCATTGGAGTTCTGCCCACATTGAATTTCTAAACCCAAACACACGAGAAGCTATATACCGCGTAGGTCAAATGAATCAATGAGGTGCTCGAAGCCGGTGCATTCATTAATTGAGAGTATGAATACATGAAACCTCCAGAGTCAAAAGGAAGACAAAAAAAACTGGTTTTGTCCACAGAAAAATTATTGCTAAGCCTTCTATCTCAAAATCATCAGAAAATTGTTGTGGGCTATTCTGGCATTTACTATGACTGAAAAATTTTAGGGATGCCGTGAACCACCCTAGGTTCGATTTCGAAAAGTTTCAATATTTTCTAACCGAACTGATGTTCAAATTCGAAAGGCTTCGATATTTTCGACCGTACGGAGATTTCAATTAGAAAAATTCACAGCTTTCAAAAATCGTGGAGTTTTGAATTCGAAAAGTTCGAAGCTTTCACGGTTTCTAAAAGTTTGGGTTCGATTATTTCGAATATTTTTTACTTGAGGTTTGAGAAATTCGAATATTTTGAACTTTCCTAACTTAAAATTCGAGAGATTCGAACTTCTTTGGATCTAAAATTAGAAAACTTTGAACGTTTCGAATTCTTATAGACATAAAGTTCGATAAATTCGAAGATTTCGCATTTCTTTCTACATAAACTTTGAAAAGTTTGAAGGTTTCGATTCTCTTTTAGCGCTACGGTATATTCGAAAAAAAAAAAAAAAAGCTTAGGTTTCGAATTTTTTTCAAGTCCAAGTGCGCAAAGTTTGAAGTCCAGCTTTCATGTTCCGCCACAGTTTCAGTTTCAAATAAAGGCCCGTTCACACTCTTGCGACCTAGTAAGACCGAGAGAGACCAGATTGATTTGTAGGTCTCTTGCAATCTCTTAGGACCAGCTCTGCTGCAGCGCATCCGATCCAAAGAAGCCGCAAAAGGCTTAAAAACCGGTCTGGTCTCTCTCGGCCTTATTCTGTCGCAAGAGTGTGAACGGCGCTTAACGTTTTCACGCCTCACTGGTTTTCACGAAATCAGGTTTAGAAATGCTCTGGTGTGATATTTAGACCACGCAAAGTTGGTCAGGCAATTAAATGAGACGACGAGTGTCCCAGATGTGCTGGATTATTTGCCAGTGCAGAGTGACGTGTGCAGGTCAGTAATTGTGACCGTCAGCCCCGGGGGGGGGTCTTTAACGTGCACCACACAGTAGTGATCACACGGACGCACTGTTTAACGATGCTCATCCAGTTCGAAATGGCCAGGGGCAGGCAGGTGGTTGAGGCTCAGAAAAACCTTGACGCGATCTGGCAAACTGCCTCCCTATCCCTTGCACATTGGCAGTAATCCGCTCGAACGCCGCCCGAGCGACGCTGGCATATAGTAAGTTTAGTTTGTACATGATGCAAAATCCTGATACTGGGAATGAAATTTGAAAAAAAAAGTGTAAGAGGACAGAAAAAAGGGGACAGGACAACGTCTCAAACTCAGCTCAGAACTACGTCTCAAACTCAACTCAGCTGAAAACTCAGCTCAGGACAACGTCTCAAACTCAACTCAGCTGAGATTGAGACGTTGCCCTGTCCCCTTTTTTCTTTCTTTTTACACTATTTCTTTCGAATTTCATCCCCAGTCTCGGGATTTTGCATCATAATCAACATACACCAGCTCGCCTGAACCTTGACAAATGTATATTTTCCGAGACGGAAGAAACGCCGAGCAAAAAGCACAGAAGCTGACACAACTTGGTCGAGGAGCGTTCTACCATACCAGTAGCGTCGGAAGAGGAAAAACAGGGGGCGAAGGGAGGGGGGGAGGCCAGTCTCCCCCCCTCTTAGATATTTCGGACTACTAAAGAAAACAATATGGGGAACAAGGGCGTGGTCGAGCTTATTTTAATCTTAAATTATTTATGCATACTTATAGCTAATGTCGCTCTTCACTGCATAAAAGATCGCGTAATGGTCATTGTTATAAACTTGTTGTCAGAAGGCACTACTCATCACATCCTCGATGGTTCGGAAGTTCAAAGCTATGTCTTTTCGACCTAAATAACTGTGCCATTGGTAAAAAAATAATAAATAAATAAACATAACAATAAATGCAAAAAAATAAAAAGCTGGAGAAAAAAAAACATCAACAATCCGCCGGAAGTGCTGTATTCTTGCATATTCAAAGGCCCAGAACTACGAAACGAGTTTCTCCTACCAAAATGTGTAAAAAGGGGCGGTGCAATGATTTTAACACTGAACGAATGTGCAGCTTGTATTTTTTATATTGTTTACTTCGGCATAAGAAGTAAGAGAAAAAGTGCCACCATACCCCAAAATACCTCTATTCCGCTGCGTAATCGTAAAATAAAAAACACTTTTCTTTCCCAACCTGCGGCCACATCGTGGCCGCAAATGGAACCTGTGGTGCGATGTCATTCGGAGTGTTTTTTGTAAGTGATAGTGTTAGGCAATTAAAAGCTTGATTTAAAGTTAAGTTTAAAAAATCTTGTTGTTTAGGCATGCAGAAACGCTTCAAAAGCCTAATATTGCTGCTAAAAGATTTGTGGCGCCATCTACCGCAAGTCAACCAAACCTGCCGTCGCCGTCATCCGTCGACGCCCGAGGCGCCTACGGCGGCTACACGAGCAACCCAGACGTTTTGTCTTTCCCTCGCTCGACGGAGTGCGTTGGTCGTGGTCCGTAGTATCGTGGTATCGTTATTGTTCCTGGTGTCTCGGCCTCGACTTCGACTTCGACTGCCCGCCGCGTCGCAAGCATCTTGCGCTCAACGTCGCTCAGGCCGTCCGCCCATGACGCCATGTTGGTCGGGAATCGGCGGGGAGAGCGGCGAGCCGGCGAGCGCTGGGGAAGCGGAAGCCAGAAGAACCCAACCGGAAACCAACGCCACTCCGAATGACGTCACAGGCGAAGCTGGTGCCGCTTCAATGTTGAGTTGAGGGGTGCCAGAGATACCAATTTCTTTTATTTTTTTTTATGAAAACTAGGGCAAGCAGGAAGGAATAGTTTTCGTTCCTTCGTTTTATATGTGGCCGGGATCAATTCCCGCAATTAATTAGCCAAAGTCCGCAAATTGTTGCACCGCCCCTTTAAAAAACACATGTCCCAAAAACGTCAAATAAAAAAAAATAATAATTTTCTTTTTTTTTATGACGTGCCGAGTGTGAACTATATTAGAAATCTTTTTCCCTGAGTTAATTTATTCCTCAACGTGAAAAGAACAATATATATATATATATATATATATATATATATATATATATGGGTGGTTTCATCTCAAATCGTGCAGGCAAAAAGGGTCGAATTTTTAATTTTGATGAAAAAAATATATGTTATGCCGCCGTTTCTAAAACCGCAGTCGACACAAACCGCAAGTTCGTCGGATTTTTTCTTCTCGACTTATGAATTTTTAAAGAGGCCGCGGCGAAAAGCAGTGTTTTTCACACCCGTCGTGGGTCGGATGTTTCGCTTGATCTCCGCCATGGATTTTCAGTCCACATTATATTATCTTTTTCGAAGCACTCTGTGGACACATTTAAAAGGCTTCAATACCATGGAATAATTTTAGGCCTTTTGCTTTTTTTTCTGTAAAAATGTCAAAAACGCCTCCTCGGTCAATTGTTGACGAACTTTGACAATTAATTACTGGCGATCTACTTGGGTTACACCAATATTTTTTATGTCCACGGAGAGCCCAAAACACGCTCTTTTTATTTATTATAAAATGCCCTGGCTGTATAAAATATCCTTTGCGGTACGTTTACGTTAATATTATGCAAAAACCAAAAAGAACCATTTCTTAAATTGATTTTCTCAAAAAACCTATTTTTTATTTTTTTATTTTTTGTTCAAATGTAGATATGATAGTTGTCTACACGAAAATCAAGCCTAGAAGGTGTATATTTTGTTTGCATGTTTTATATTTAGGCCTCAATATCGGAAAAAGACGTCTTTGTTTTGCAAGACCTAAGTCAGACATAGCGACCCATACGTCTCTATGAATTGTGAAAAAGTTTTCTTGAATTTTCTTCTGCATTTTGTAATCAATTATAAACGAATTTTGTGATATTGATTATGTATGTATGTTATGATAAGAGCGGGAACCATGAGATACATATCTAACCAAATCAGCAGGCCTAGTAGACTTTCAATAACCAAAAGGCATAGACGTTGTATTGTTTCGATTTATAAACCTTTCAAAGTAAACCAGCACGACTAGCTATTAGCTGTCATATTACTAAGACAAAGAAAGTCACCACATCGTCCATATATTATATACAATTCTTTACGAAACCAAACACTGGGGCTTGTTCACCGCACATCGCACAGGTCACCAGGGAATATCCTTTCACTTCCGTAATACACAAAAGTGGTGACACAGAAACGGTCCGAAACACACAGAGAGTGTGTCATGGAGAGGGGTAGGAAATAAAAATAAATAAATAGGAATTAAATTGCCCAACTCCGATCTTAACGAAAATTGCGTTAAAAAAATAATAAAGTATTTAGGTTGGAGTGGTGGCAAGACGATAGGTCCACGCCTGGTGGAGAGTCAGACAAAAAACTCGACGGCACGTAAAGGTAAAAAAAAAAAAAAATCAATAATTTAATAAAGACGGAAAAACTCAGCCGCACATGGCAAGAACAAAAACCAACTCCCCCAGGCATTCCCTAAACGGGACGCAACCAAATGCGTGCGAACACGCTCTCTACATCACCGCCAGGCCGCTCCGCCATGATGAAATAAACCCAACAACTGAACAGTGCTAACAAACAGTTAGTAAGAAAACATTAAAAAAAAAAACGTTCAGAAAAAATTGCACCCGAGAAACAAAGTTCAGCGGGGCGAAGAAACACACACGAGTCGGTCCCACGACATTGAAGTCTGGCAGGATGACGGCGTCCACATGATGCTCGAATCTGTTCCTGCCTCTATTACGCACATCCACGACGGCTGTGCGGAACAGTGGCTGTACGAAAGAAAGTGAAGAATAGATTCCAGCAGGCGATGCGCGAGAAGGTAACCGAGACTATGCTTCAAGCTTCACATCGGGAGAGGAGCTTTCGAGGTAGTTTCTGCAGTTACTCAAACTTTCTCTTTCCCCTTCCCTTTTTCAAAAGAACACGTCAGCCGGCGCTAACGTTTCATCTCGGGAGAAGCCCACTCTTCACAAACGGTTATAGTTGACAAGGAGGCTGACTTCGACCCAACTAGTCTCCGGGCAAAATACAAACACAAGCATATTTACCAACACGCTCGTTTTAATGTCAGTCTCCGGGCTTTGCTGTTTCCAAAAGAGATAACCCTTTATAAGGACAGAACGAGCGGGTTGGTGGGGATAATTAAACTTAAACACTCCCTTCTCGTTTTCTTCCTCAAGTTTAATAGATAACCCTTCGGTGCTATTGGATCTCCCCGGAGAGAGAGAGAGAGCACGGCCGTTTCGAGGTAAGGATAGGGCGTTCGAAGCTAGGGCAAACAGGCGGTATCGTTTCACGCATGCACGGATGGCTGGTTTCAAATTTCCCCACATCCCTAAAGAAACCGGCCCATCTTCGTGTGTGCATCTGCGGGATTTCTGTCCCGCGCCACCGGTTTTAGCGCGCACGCGGCGTTCTTTTGGCTGGCACAACAGTTGTTGACCGTCGACATTGTAAGGCCGTGGTGTCCTCATCCTTTCAGGCAACGATTCCTTTGCTTTCCTTTGTACAATACCCTGACAGACTCCTCCTGGGTGGCTGTCACTGTTCGCCGCGTCAACGAAACAATCGTACCATTTCACTCCTCGTGACACAGGGTGCGCTGCTCGCTCTACTGTCACGGGCTGTCCCATCTAACACAACGAGAGCGAAAGGTCGTGGTCATCTGCTGGCTCCGAAAGGGCGGGACGTTCATGCAGGCCAATGAGGGCCCCGAATCAATAAGACGTCTGCCGACTCCTACACGTTAAAAATTTACGACACCTGCTGGTCTGTTAAGAAGTGTTGCTTTCTCTTTTTGGAACTCCTCCGATGTAGCTTGCCGCCTATAATAAAATTTAAATAATCAATAAATATATCAGGGGGGGAAATACTGTATTTCAGTTTTATGTGGGAACGTTGAAAAAAAGAAAAAACTATTTCCAAGCTTGTGAAGACGCGCAATTCGCAAGTCCATTTCGAGCCGTAAAAACACGTTTTTGTACGATATTGATGCTTAAATGTAGAACATACAAACAAAATATACACTTTCTAGGCTTGATTTTCGTGTAGAGAACTATCATATCTACATTTGAACAAAAAATAAAAAAAATAAAAAATGGGTTTTTTGAGAAAATCAATTTCAAAAATGGTACTTTTTGGTTTTTGCATAATATTAACGTAAACGTACCGCAAAGGACATTTTATACAGCCAAGGCATTTTATAATAAATAGAAAGAGCGTGTTTTGGGCTCTCCGTGGACATAAAAAATATCGGTGTAACCCAAGTAGATCGCCAGTAATTAATTGTCAAAGTTCGTCAACAATTGACCGAGGAGGCGTTTTTGACATTTTTACAGAAAAAAAGCAAAAGGCCTAAAATTATTTCATGGTATTGGAGCCTTTTAAATGTGTCCACAGAGTGCTTCAAAAAAGACAGTATAATGTGGACTGAAAATCCATGGCGGGAGATCAAGCGAAACATCCGAGCCACGACGGGTATGAAAAACACTGCTTTTCGCCACGGCCTGTTTAAAAATTCATAAGTCGAGAAGAAAAAATCCGACGAACTTGCGGTTTGTGTCGACTGCGGTTTTAGAAACGGCGGCATAACATATATTTTTTTCAATTAAAAATTCGACCATTTTTGCCTGCACGATTTGAGATGAAACCACCCATATATATATATATATATATATATATTAATTTGTGTTCTGATATGGTAATGATATGTACTGTCTGTGGTGTTAATTTAAGTGCGATACCTCAAACAATTTCGACGAAACAAATTACCAAGTTCATAATTGCCCGTAGATACATGTTTGGATATTTCTTCAAAACTCGTCTTGAACAACAGTAATCATATCTTAAGACTACACTTACCTAGGCTATACATAGATCATTCTTAAAAAGTTTAACATCTCTACCATAAATATCTTCGGCTATAGCGCGCTTCAAATATGGTACAAACGACAACTGTCAAAAACCCTTCGTCCTTCCTCGCTCCTTCGGGAATCCATTTTTTTAAAACCAAGCATGCCAGATGATTAAAATGAACGGCATTCTTTCTCGCAAGGAATGCAATACCACATTTAGAAATGCGAGAAAAAAATTACGAATGCACCTCACTGCTTGAAACCAAATGAAACCGCTCGCCCGTCTTTCGAAGCTCGACGAACTTCGAACTTTTACCCCAAAACTTCGAAGTTTGTTTACCTTTGACTTTTCAGGAATCGAAAGTTCGACAATTTTCGAATTCTTTAGATTAATAACTTTGAAAATTCGAAAATTAATGAATTTGTTAGAGTAGGAAGTTCGGAAAACTTCGAACTTTTTAGTGCAAGAAATTTGAAAGTTCGAAAATCATAGAATATTTCAGTCTACCAAGTTCGAAATTTCGACAAGCATCGAAATTTGCAATGTAATAAGTTCGAAATTTCGAAAAGCGTCGAACGTCTTAGTTTAACAGGTTCGAAAATTCAACTTCCGTAGAATTTCTCGACATGGAAAGTTAGAAAATTCGGAATCGTTCGAACCTTTCGAACCGCTTGATTTGATCATCAAACTTTCGGTTCAAAAAAAGTTCGCGGCATCCCTAAAAAATTTGTAAATGGAAAGAAAACAGAATTGGCTTACCTATTCTTCACTTCATTTGGCCCAAATGAGCACCAAAGTAACGCCATTTTTTTTAGTGTACATGCAACATATAGGAAAAACATAGTTTATGATTTTTCTTGATTTACTTAGGTGAGCCAATCTTCCCACAATTTTAGCGAAAGCTTCCACCAACTTCAGGCACCTCTGAAGTAAATCCTAGCGTGATACGTTAAGAACCCGATTTATGCTGTCATTTCAAACGGTCATTGATTCCTTTGACCCACGCGGTAGGTAGTGTAGTTTACAGTATGCCATGGCTCGACTCTTTGCCATTTTAGATTGAACTAGAATTATGTAAATTGTAGAAATGTCGCCTATCACACACAATTTTACTGTACAACCACATAATATACATAAAACATTCTGAATCACTTACTATGATAAAAAAAAACTGTTAAAATATTAATTTTCATAAAACTAATGTTTGAAAAAAAAAATAGGAGTGATCAAATGCTTGGCAATAAGCTTTTTAGTATAAAATATATAAACTACCATAAAACGAGCTCCATGTGCACACAGTGGTGCGAGCACCTACACTGTTTTCTGTAAACTTTAGAATTTACTATGGTCAGTGACAGTTTAAGTGTTCATGGGAAACTCCACCCACCTCTTTTCACTATAGCAAAGCAAATGCTGGAGAGGAAGCACCCTCCCCTCCAGGATTCGCTCCGCTAGAGCAGAAAGATTAGAGGAGCTTCCCCTGAACCCTTAACCTACCACTGAGCACACAGCCCATAAGTATCCGTAAATAAATTTGAAAGAAGTAAATGCCTACCCCTCAAAAATTATTATACATATAATTTCTGAAAGGCTGGTTTGGTATTTTATGGTGAACTCAGTATTTTTGACTCACCTTAACTGGAGTGTCTAGTTTCACAACATAGTCTTCCAGCTGCTTGCCCAAATGTTCTGTAAAAATAAATTACAATATTATATTACATCTTTATTACTATTCATTTAATACATAAACATTGTGCTCTTCATCGTCTTTTCAACTTCTTTTCTCATGATTATATGATGCCACATCTTGCAGTAGACACAAAACAACAGTAGCAACAGCAACAGAGCAAAGAAGATTCATATGTTCAGAGTCACTAAGAAATATGTGTACAGGGCGTCTCAAAAAAAATTTACACGCTTTTTTTTACCGCAAAAATAAACTAGGCATCGCCGAACGCTCATTCTCCGCCCAAAGGTAGCGCCAGAGGTCACAACCAGATGCCAAAGTTTCAGCCTGATCAGATAACTTAATCAAAAGTTATAAGTGATTTTCTGAAAATTTCAATGGAAAAATGGCGGCCGACGGAGTTTTAGAATACATGGGGCTCTATGGGCACCAGAAACCGAAAACGGGCAAAAATGGGCTCTATTTTCCCATTGAAATTTTCAGAAAATCACTTATAACTTTTGATTAAGTTATCAGATCAGGCTGAAACTTTGGCATCTGGTTGTGACCTCTGGCGCTACCTTTGGGCGGAGAATGAGCGCTCGGCGACGCCTAGTTTATTTTTGCAATAAAAAAAAGCGTGTAACTTTTTTTTTTTTGTGACACCCTGTACTTATACATTGTACCACACGCAGATGCCTTATTATAGCTAAAGCATTCCAACCTTTTTTTTTTTTTGGAAACACCTACATTTTTGTAAATGCTGCAAATGTTGCAATATATTATACACAATAAAAGTTTTACAAACCTGCATTAATGAGATTTAATGCAAACTATAAATGAATACTTGTAAGCCTAGGGAAAATATTGTCGGTGTGTGAGAAAGTACTATCAACGGCTAAATAACCATAAGAGGGTAAAAGATTCCCCAGCCCAGAACTATCATCTCCTTTAGACGGTCACATTAAAAAAAGTCTGCATTCTTTGCATTTTATTCGTAACACACAGAGTACTGTGACCCCCATTTCAATGCTATCTGTGACTGAAGGTTGCAACTCAGCACCACCATCTGCTTCAGAAAGTCAGGTTAAAGAAAAGAAATTTAAAGAAAGTCTGCATGCTTTGCATTTTATGCCGAACACACAGAATACTGTGACCCCCATTTCAATGCTACTATTGGTGATTGAAGGTTGCAACTCAGCACTATCATCTTCTTTAGAGAGCCACATTAAAGAAAGTCTGCATTCTTGGCATTTTACACCTAACACAGGATATTGTGACCCCAATTTCAACAATATCTGTGATTGAAGGTTGCAATGGCAGCAGGCATAGCCATGCAACCGATCTGGACAAACAAGTCTTGAATATCTGCTGTCGCAAGGCTTCGCAAGGGCAGCTCACCCCTTTCACTGGCATCGTCCACCAGGATGATTTCCTCCAGCAGCGCCCGCGGGGAGGTGCGGATGACGCTGTGAACTGTCCGCAGCAGCGTGGACCAGGCCTCGTTGTGAAAGACTATTACCACAGACGTGGTCGGGAGCTTCTCTGGGTAGACTTTATCCTTACACCTGGGAAAAAAAAGGCATGCCTCCCGTTAAGCCCAGGGGCACACTTACCAATAGGCAGACTAGGCAGCTGTCTAAAGTGGCAGAATTTGGAGGGCAGCCAATTTGTGGTTGCCCCCAAATCAATTAGCTCCCTTTTTTAATGCAAAAGCATTAACTGTCCCATGGAGCAAACCAGCATTATCAGCTTTTGAAGCCACGCCAAACAACACCTAAATTGCCCTGTCCCAATGGAGCAAAGCCTGTTGTCTGTAGCAGCACCTTGATGAATAGGCTCCCATTGGCTGGCGCGCGTCATAATTTTAAGGAACGCCACCTCACGGCGCTGCGGGCCCTGCACCGTTAAAAGGAACATGATGGCGCGTGCTCGGCCGCTTCTGCTCCTCTTGACGTTGACGAACATGTCGGTGCCTCAAGGATCTACATCATTGGCGGCCGCAACCTCAGTAGCAGCGAAACCTGCCCGTCCACGCAAGTACACCGCAGGCGAACTAAGGGAGTGGAATAACGCAGCACAACGTGCGATAAGGCAGTCAGCGAAATCCACTATCGATGTGAAGTCTCCGAATACACGGCATACGGAGCGAGCGGTGGCGCAACGCGCAAGGAGGCAGAACAAAGCCTTTAGAAAGCATGAGGCGCAGGCGGATTGCGACTCAAAGTGTCTCAGGCGGCAAGAGGACGAGGCCCTTTGACATTGTGAGGTGGAAGCAATACGTCACAGGCGGCATGCTTTCGCATTCACAACTCATAAAAAGTGCTTAAGTGCCCTCGGACTTTTTTTTTTTTAATATCTAGTTACAAATATAGCTACTTTGTGAACTCTAGCTCCAAATCTAGGTACTTCTGAAATTTTTAAGTCCAAACTTAGCAACTCCCCCCCCCCCCCCCCCCACGCCACCCAGGGGGCACTGTTAAAGGCCAATGACCAATTTGCACTCCCCACTTTTCTCTTGTTTCCTCTTCTCCCTCCTTCTACCCTTTCCCCTGTTGCTTTTTTATTCCTCACCCCCCCCCCCCACCCCGGAGCACTACCCTGCTAAACTCACAGCGGCTAAGTCATAAACTCCAATTAGAAAAAAAGGGATTACAATACAAAAGAGCAATTCAAACATGATTGACAAGCGGCCTTGAGTCCTTGAACTACAGTGCTGTTGGCATTAGTGCCAGTTTTTAGTCAGTGTGCAGTGCGCTGGCATTTCTTTATATGTCCCTCTTTCTTCTTTTTAGAGCGCAGCTCTTAGGCGCCCGTTTCCAGCTTGAGCGGCGGCGCCGTCGGCCTAACCGTGCGTTTACGAAAGTTACTCTCATGAGGGTTATTCTCACGAAGATCACGAGGGTTACCCTCGTAACCCTCGTGAGAGTAACCCTGGTAACCCTCACGAGGGTTTCGAGGGTTAGTTACCCCCAAAAGGGTTACCTTCACGAGCGTCACAAGGGTTTTGAGAGTTACCCTCACGAGGGTTATGAGAGCTACCCCCACGAGAGTTACCCTCACGAGTGTCACGAGAGGTTACCCTCACGAGGGTTACCCCCTGAGGTCACGTGACCCTCTGATGTTATGTGACCCCCCCCCCCCCCCCCCCCCCCCCGAGGTCACGTGACCTCAGGGAGGCACCTACCCCTCAGTACCCTTCCATCCTATCCCTCAGCACCTTTCCATCCTCCTCCTCAAGAGCTGTGCTCTAATCTGGTGTTACAGGGAATTGTAAAAGGCTTTCTTTTTTTTTTTTTTTTTTTGGGGGGGGGGGGGAGTGGGGTGTGTTTGATATTGTTTTATTGGGGAGATATCCACAATTTTGGAAAACACTGACTGCACATGCACAGCCCCAAGCAGATGCTGGATTCACATGCTCGCACAATTAACCACCCCACCATCCTAACAGCACGCAGATTCATGCCCGACTTTCTTAAACCCCTCTTTCCATCCTTCGCTTCCCTCACTCCAAAACGTGAGGGGAGGAAAGCCTTGCAAAATATCTAGTTTGGTAGTCCGTCTGTAAATGCTGCCTAGGGCGGCAAAAGCTTAAGTCCACCTTTGTTTAAGCCCCATTTTTGACACCAGTCAAAGCACCAACACCCAGCGTTTAAATGGCACTGCTACTCCAATCTTAAATTTCCTTTTTTCTTTTTTTTAAGTAAATGAATGCAGTTGTTAGCTGAGAAACATTGTATTTAAAACTCCGAGACAGTGCTTGAGTTGCCTTCTTTAAGTTGATTTTCCCGAAACATGCTTGGTTATAACTGGGCACATCACATGGGTACTGGCTAGAGCGGTGGTTTTCGAATAAGGGTCTGCGGTCCCTTGGGGTCCCCTAAGGCCTTCTTAAGTGTTACCGAAGCCCTCAACCATTAGTCAGGCCGAGCAATAAAACTTTTTTTTTAATGATGTTGGCTGTTCTACAAAGCTAAATGGACTAAATGTGCTATGCATGTTTGCACGCATTATTTAGTTTTCTTCACTCATCCTATGTCATTGTAGTAGTTCAATACTTCTGTCTCCCTCCACCTCACTTCTGCCAATCAAGAAGGGGTCCTTGAAATATCAGTGGTTGAGAACCACTGAGCTAGAGCCTTTGCTGAATGACAAAGCTGAATCGAATAGCACTGCTGCCGCACCCTCGTCCGCACGATGCGCTTTCTAATGCTTATACAACTTCTTGTATCAAGGTGGTGGCACTGGCATGTTTCAATCGCTGTTTAGTCGTTTTCACTTAGACTGTCCAAGACCATTGTCCAGGTTTCACTTGAAATGTTTGGATGCAACTTTGTAGACCCTACCGTAGAATACCGTGCACCCGTTCATTCCACGTTAAGCGCCCATATCCAAATTTCTAAGATATGAAAAAAATATGCACATTACACTTATATGTAGAATTGATGACCCGACAAGCGCCCCTCCCCCATTTTTTTGCGATTATCTCTAAATTGCGAGTGGGCGCTTGCCCGCTATTTTACGGTAGTATATTCTTAACCTATCAAACTCGATTGACAATGTAGAATTTGTTTCTTTTTGGACACGTTGTACAGCAAACAAAGTGGCATACTCACTTTTCTAGCCTAACATCAGGCAAAGATCGATTCAGGGCAATCCTGTCACTCGCAAGCAGGTTGAACTGATTTAGCTTGAATTTTTCTTTCTTCAGGGCTTCCTCGTCCTTGCCAATTTCGACACCCCGGCCATTCTCGCCTGGCCAGTCCGAAGGATTCTGCTTGAGCTCTGGGTGAAAGAGAAAAAACTATTTGAAACCTATGACTCTTCCTTTTGGTGTTGCCCGAACTCTGCTACCTCACAACCCAACAAAAATATAAAATATTGTGTCAAGAGAAGGTTCATATATTGTGTCGGTAAACAATGTTTAAACAGGTTCCCAATGCTAAGATGCAGTCAAAAATGATTGCTCCTGCAACTAACTGCAGCTCCAATAAATCAATTGCAACAACACCAGATATATTTGAAGTTTTACTCTATAAAAGGCTAATCACAATGCGAAATTTATTGAAGGGCTGCAAAACTATTAGCAACTGATTAGTACTGATTGTGTGACGCAATTAGAAATTGTGGTACCACAACTGTTAGGCTATATTGCATAGCTACTTTCCTACCTCCTTCGCCATCACACGAAAATAATAAAGGTTATGCATAGTTTATTTGTAATCACTTCATCACAACCAAATCTAACATAATTAAACCTTGCAACAACAAAAAATAATCACAGGTGATTAGAGCAACAAAGAGTGTTCAATGATTTCCAAAGCAAACTCTAATTTCAGTATTGTCATCCTCCCTTTCTCTCTCCCTCTCACCCACGCAGACAAGCACGAAAACTCAAGCGCGTGCGCACAAACAAACCAAATTTACTATCACTTGGGCCGCAATGAACTGAATGGGAGGGGTGTTTCTCCCCACTCGCACAGCTGTACTGTGGCAAAGCCGCACCTACGACAGCATCGCCGTGGGTGTCCTCGCTGCAGTACACAGATGTCGCGGGGGAAGCGGACTCAACAGAGCTAAGCCTCCCGCTGGTCGCCTGTCCGTTTCGTACGTGTACCTTTTTTCGTCCTGTTTGTTCGCGCCTTTTAACCTTTTAATCCCCCCTTGTAGACCTTTTCAATAATCGCCGTCTGCGCACTGCCATATTTTTCTGCTGGGCCGGCTGTGGAAGGCCTTCTCTCGTGTGCGGAATATCAGACGCCGCCCGCATGTCTCCATAGCCCAGTGACCCGGCATTTTTCGCTTGGATGATGGGCGTTGGAAAGGTGTATACACAACTGGGGCCCTAACCTGGACACTCGGCGAAAAAGTCGGCGAGACCGTGATTGGCCAGCTCCGCACTTGACCTTGGCGCCTGCCAATCAGAGTCGCTGGATTTCTTGCCTTCTTTTTTGCCAAGCGTCCAGATTAGGGCCCCTGCTCTTATATAGACTTTTGTTGTAATTTTTTTTTTTTTTGTTTGTTCTAACTGTAAGAATTTATGCCGAGGCCTGCCTCGTAAGCAGCCCGAGTTAGGCCTAGTTAAGCAAATACCCAGGCTTGGTCTACAGGGTGAAACAAGGAGACGCCAGGCTCTTTAAATCGACCGGAAAATTCGGTTTTTCAACCCATCGCGCTACGACTTTGTGCAGCGTTGCCCACAGATGGTGCATTTTTTTTTTTTGTAAAATTTACGAAGAGCGAACTTACCTGAGGAAAAAGTAAAGAAAGAAAAAGGCTTAGCTCCTATGAAAACGCAGCGACGCCACCGGTCTTCAAACAACACGGCGCCGTTTCGCACGGGAGACAAGAGATGGCGCAAGCGGTCGCGACGCCAACTGCCGCCAACGAACGAGCAGACGACGCCGAGAGCCGGCACTTTTGGAGACAAGGAACTGCAGTTCCTTGCTGTTACCGCGCCTGTCTTTTTTGTTTCTGCGACTGCCGCCGCCTGCGGAACGCGCGCCGCTTTTGAGTCGAAAAGATCGTTTGCTAAAAAGGCCTGCTCTCGGCGCCGTATGCTCGTTCGCTGGCGGCGTTTGTTGCGCCATCTCTTGTCTCCCGTGCGAAACGGCGCCGTGTTGTTTGCAGACCGGTGGCGTCGCTGCGTTTCCATAGGAGCTAAGCCTTTTTCTGTCTTTACTTTTTCCCCAGTAAGTTCGCTCTTCGCAAATTTTACAAAAAAAAAAAAGAAAAAAAAAGCGCACCATCAGTGGGCAACGCTGCACAAAGTCGTAGCGCGATAGGTTAAGAAACCGAATTTTCCGGTCGATTTAAAGAGCCTGGCGTCTCCTTGTTTCACCCTGTACCATCGGGAGTAAAAACCGGCGACTGCACGAAGTCATTTAAACTTTTCGTCAAAAGTGTATTTCACAGTTGGGTTTTACCTTGTAAAATTACAAAGCGGAGCTCCCTTGCTGTAAAAAAATTGGGTCAAAATTTTGCCAGGGTCAACGGCGGACGGCAATGCAGACGACCGAGTCGAATGGCGGAGCGTGTTTAGCGCACGTATCAATAGATGGCACTCCCTCTTTATCGAGACTGATCGCGACGACCGTGGTCTATTAAAATGAACATATGTATTTTTTTTTTTTTGTAATGTACCTTTTCTTTAAAAATAAACGCGGACAATTATAGCAAAACTTTAAATAACAAAAAGACGCGGTTGCATAACGATGGCACTCTTGCTGCCGACGGATTTCGTCTGCGTGACGCCTGCTTTTTTCCGGTGGCCGACTACAACTTCCGACGCAAGAACTTATTCCGGCGCTGCACCCGACGTCATTTATCAATATATGCGCCAAACGCGCCACGCACCACTCGACTCGGTCGTCTGCGTCGCCGTCCGCCGTTGACCCTGACAAGTTTTTTTCTTTTTACTTTGTTTTACAGAAAGGGAGCTTCGCTTTGTAATTTTGTATGATAAAACCGACCCCTGAAATACACTTCTGAAGCAAAGTTTACATTGGTATGTGCAGGCGACGATTTTTATGGCCCATTTGAGATCGAGCCTGGGTATTTCAGAAACCCTATATAAAGGATGCGGCCGTAGGGACACACACATTTGGCATGCCTTACTAAATTCGAACTCCAAACGTACATACTTAAAATTAAACACGTAGTCTCGCCAAAAAAAAAAATTTTTTTTTTTTTTTTTAGAGCTCAATTTTGAGGAAGTGAAATACTAAGAACAATCGGATTTCCTATGTCCTATACCAGCCTGCCTGTCGTCTGCACACTAATTTATGAGCTCGCTCCCGAGTGGTTTGCTGAACGCAAAACATTAAAAAACAAAACATGGCTTGAGTTGACATCAAATCAGCAGCCATTGCTCCGAACCATGCTCCGGTGCCCGTACTTTCTGCAGCATACATACATTTGGCACCATCGATATTTTTTTTCCTCTCGGCAAGCCTCGCCAAGAAGAACAAATTCGATGGTGTCAAACGTGTGCTGCAGAAGGTACGGGCGCAGGAGCATGGTACGAAGCAATGGTGGCTGGTACGGTGCCATATGATGTCACGTGCAAGGCATGTATAACAGAGGCTGGCGATGAGCAAGATAATCGCGATAATTATAATACTTTAAACGAAATACATGATCAATGACTACCTGTGAGCAAGCTCGAAAATCAGTGTGCAGACGACGAATAACCGGTATAGGACATAGGAAATGCACGGCTGCCGTTTTTGCTCTATTTTTAATATTTTACCACACCTGGCTTGAGCCCTGAAAAAAGACAAAATTTCTGGCAAGGTCTACGTTCGCGTGCCCAACTTCAGGTATGTACATTTGGAACTCGAATCCTGCGAATTTCGTGCCAAATCTGTTGGTCCTTACGGCCGCACTCTGTAAAACATTATTAGAACTCAGTTGCGGAACTGTCCATAGATGCTGCTTGCGCGAACAGTAACCCCCCCCCCCCCCCCCCCCTTTCCCCACGGCACGCCTCCCGTCGTTCGAAGCGCCACCGCTTTGGGGGGGACGGCTGCCATGGTAACCGCAACGTATTCTATGGAATACGTATATTTCGAAACATACGTATTCTATGGAATACGTATGTTTCGAAACACGGCGTCTATACTTGTTTTCACCGCAAGAACCGTAGTAAAACAAGTCCGGCTCCTCGCGGAGCGTTACTAATTTTCCCCTTTTTGTGGAGAATTAAGATATACGCAGTGGCATTTTAGATTAGATAAACGTTATCTTATCAAGAGGTACACGTTCCAAACACCAAAAGCATCGCTTTTTCCTCCGAGGTTCAAACCTCGTAAGAACGTACTTCGCGCCGCGTATGAACAATGCGCAAAACTTGTTTTTTTCTGGAGGTGAAAACGGGTTTATAGATGGCATTTCACCGTACTCTATGGAACACAGTTTCGAAATGAAAATCTAGAGGGCGCTTCAAACGACAGGAAATTAAGCGGGAAGCTAGGGGAAGCACAGGGGCCTTACGGGAAGCGAACTGAATGGAGGAGGAGAGGGCGGGGGGGGGGGGGGGGGGGGGGCGTACCGCCTTCCCTGGAATGCAGTACGCCCCCCCCCCCTCCCCCCCCCCCCCGCCCTCTAGACATATAAATGAAGAAGAAAGCGGATGCGCCAATATCATAAGAGCCGGAAAGGTTAACGCCAGCACACTGAAAGCTCAAACTTTCAATGTGCTGGCGTTTCAATGTGCTGGCTGCAAACAGAGCTCAAAGCTCAAACTGAGCAGGTGAGTTTCACAGTGTGAGATTTCAAGGCGTATAGTTCTCTTCCTGTAGAAAATCAGAGCAACAAACTTACCAAAGTCAAAATCGAGCGCTTTCGCAGACGACCGCTGCTAACTTGTGGCGCCATCTCCCTGTAGGCGCAGCGAGCAAACGACAGAGTCTGTTTGCTCGCTGCGCGCAACGGTAGATGGTGCCACAAGTTAATAGCGTCGCTTAGAGAGCCTGTATCACAAAGACATTCCAACTGCTTGATCGTTGCTTATGGGCCGCGTTTGCAATAAGAGCTGCGAGGAAGTGACGAAGGCGCTGATTGTCTGCAAAAGTCCTCACTTTTCCGTCAGCTTCCCTCCTCGCACCATAAAATGCAGCGCATGCGCACTTGCGACTAATCGCCGCAGGAGGCGTCCGCTATTAAACAGCAAATGCTCCCCTTGGTCCGAGATGGACCCTCTCTTGAATCTAGGCTCTCTAGCGACGCTAGATTGGGACGTCTGCGAACGCACCCGACGCCGACTTTGTCGAGTTTGTTGCTCTTATTTTTTACAGAAAGAAAACAGCGCTTTGAGATTTCATGCGATAAAAGTGACCCGCTTCAGTGCGCATTCGGTGAAAGTTTGAGCTTTCTATGGGCAGGCGCCGATTTTTCCCGCTCGTTTTACAGCGTCGGATCCGCTTGTGCCCCAATAGCAGACGAGAAAAACAAAAAGAATGGTCAGATTAGGTTATGTAGGTCACGTGGTCACGTCATGCGGTCACGTGACGTTTCATGAACGTTACAGCTCTCCAAAAACAAAATTTCCGTTCAAAAAAGAGAGAAGCGTGCTTACCAACAGCAACCCAGCTCCTAAACTCCCCTTGCGGCGACTGCAGCGACTTGGAGGAAGGCACTCGGTCCAGAGAAGAAGACGACTTGGGCAGGCAGCCGGACCCGATGCACTCGGTGTAGTACATCAGGAGTAGCCCGGCCAGGGCGAACCACACCAGGGAGGTGACCAGCACCACCTTGCACGTGTGCATTCGGAAACCACGCATTCGGAACATGGCGGCGACGACGACGAGTCTTTTTGCACGCCACGTAGGAATAAGGAACAAAGTACTAGAGGTCCTTTTTGCTGTTTCTCAAGAAACTGGGAAACTTTGGTGTTTTTTGTGGTCACACGCCGACGAGGTCCTCCGGAGGCGCGACGTGGTCCGCAAATTGCGCTTTCACGTGCTGAAGAAGACACCGTCTCAAGGGCCTAACAGCGTGAACAATGTCCCGACGCGAGGTCTGGGCGTGGAATGTACGGGGAGCGTGCGTCGGCTCGCCATAGCGGCTTAGCTTAGACCGGCGCACTTTGCCACTGAGCGACGATAAAAAAAGGTGGAACACTTCGGTGGTAAAAAGAAGAAAAAAAAGTTAGAGAAAGAAGAAAAAAAGGGAATGATAAAGCGTAAAATGAACAATGTATAAAAACCAAGGAGTAACAAAATAATAATAATAAGAAAAACCTAGTGTAACGGATAGAAGGAAGAGCTACGTAGGCTGGTCATAACGCCAGGCTATGCATCCTTTTTTCAGAGTTGAGTCCGTCGCAGCGCCGAGAGGCTGGGTGCATGGAGGAACTGGTGCCTGGGCTGAGCGGGCCCCGACCCAGCATCAGCGCTCGGCGTGGTCGCTAGTCAGCATCGCGGGCTTGAACGACGACCGTGCTCGGCGGCAAACATCCTGCGGAAGCAGAAAAAAACAAAATGGCAAACACTTACTACACAAGTTAGTTTTACAAGAACAGAAAGGATGACACACTAGACCTAATTCCTATACTCTGTTGCAGGGTAAGGAAAGCTGGACAAGGCCCTCTCACAAAGCCCGGCACTCTTTCCACTTTTGGCGGAGTGAAGGCCGGAGGGGAGCGGACCCGTCGCGTCTCCGGCGTCCGCTCTGCTAAGGTGGGAAGACTGGAGGACTGTGCGGGGCGCGCTTGTCTTGTTTTTCTTGGCTTGCAACAGAGCATACGGACCGTGATTACTTCTTGAGAGTCGAATACTCTGAAGTAACACGTAGTAACACATCGAGCGCGTATGAGTGGACCCACACTTTTTTTTAATAAATAAAACAAGGAAGACCAACTTCACAATTTACGGTACTACTATAGTACTGCTAATAACGACACGAAGAAATTTGTAACGTTACTGAAATATGATAACATCATTAAAGTGTATTAATAGTTAAAGGGGCACTGAAGTCATTTTTGAAAAAGGTTGTTTTTGATCTTATATTGTTTAAAATGTGTTAGTTCCCCCACATATACCAAGTCCCTACACTACAAAACCGCATATTCATCTCAGCATTCTCAGGGCAATACAAAGCCATGTGGACTCTTTTTCTCGCGGACTACATTGTGTGGACCAATGCAAGCCCTACAATACGTGCAGATTCCGAATGATTTTACCGTAACTCGTTTTGAAGAGAGTCTGATAGGTACACATTCGGATAAGACTCCTCTTTTTTTCCGCGGGCGAAGCCATCACTTGCAACTCGCCGACAAGCGCCCTTCGTCGACCACTCGGAGGAAAAGTCTTCCCCAAAAAGGGCGTGTCGCGATCTTGGAACACGCTTTTAACGTGGAAACAATCTACGCACGATTGCGGTTTCGGGTTTGTTGGGATGCTTAGGGCGTCTCGATTGAGTTGTCACCACAAAAGGACGATTTCAAAATCGACTTCAGTGCCCCTTTAAAAGATAAACACAGCGCAAAAAGACGACGGACTGGATGAAGGAAAACACAGCGCTCTGTCTTCCTTCATCCAGTTCGTCGTCTTCTTGCGCTGTTTTTATATTTTAAGTATGCCGTACCAACTCGCCCACGCTTTTACCTGAGCAGTATAAATACCATTAAAACGAAACAAATCCTAGACAGAACTTCTGCAAGCGACCCACACTTCCGTCTCAGAAATTCCGCAAAAGGTTGTTGAAAACACAAACACGATTGCACGGGTGTTTTGATTGCAAGCTGCGAACCCAACGTTGCGCGAATACTTGCGCAAATCCGACACGTTTGCGAGCAAAGCCATACACTCGCGCGTACCTGCGTCACTGACGGCGCTGTATATACCTTGGAAGATGAGTTATCGTCTTAGAGAGAGCGCTGTCCTCTTTCCCCAAAACCTCCCTTAAAGATACCATCAAAGAAGAAAAAAAAGTACACTTCGTGTGCCCATTTCGCAAGTGGGAAATCCTCACATACTATTTGGCCAACGCGAATGTTACGCCCACGTCGCTCCCTTCAAAACTGTAATTTTTTTTTCGCTTTTTTTTTTTTGAGTCGGGGAAGTTTGAAGTAGGGAGCGGCTCCAGGACGACAGCCGCGCGTTTCCAAAAGACCAAAACACTGGCAGACACACACCGAAAAAAAAAAAAAAAAAAGTGAAATGGAAGGAAGGCGACGGAGGAGATGCACCAAGACCTCTCGGACAAGATCGGCTCTCTGCGGCGAGGTTCCAGCAGTCGCACGTCCCTTCACAGTCCGCGCGCAAATAGCGGAAGGAGCGTATACGCCGAAAAAGACAAAAAAGAAAAAAAGAAAAAAAAAAGGGGGGGGGGGGGGTGCTTCCGGTGATAAGAAGGCTGGCGCGGAGTCCCGGGGGTGGCAGAGACAGGCTTCGAGACTCGAGCTCAGTGACATCGATAGAGCCGTTCAAGGCGCAATCTGACAGCCATCCACCATCGTCGAACAACCGGTTTCCGCCCAAATGTAGCGACGTACTTCGTTTGAGCATAAGTGAGAGCGAAGAAAAATCAAAGAGAAAGAGCGCAACGCCTCGAGTTGCCTGCTATGCACGCGCGCTCGTGAAATGAAGGCAGCGTTCCAAGACCAACATGCCCCTCTTTGTGCGTGACATAGGCTTCGCTCCAGTGGCGTACCAGCTTGCAGTGATGTGATTAATCCGAGCCATTTTGGAGCAGCTCTGGGAGCAGCTAAAAGTCAATTTTGGAGAGGCAAAAGTAACTTTTGTAGCACCATTCTTATTCATACCAATGCAGACATTGCGAAGATTCATGTGTCGGCACGTCCAACTAAAAGGCAATGTCTACATTGCCTTCTAGCAGGAGGGAGTCCCTCAAACACAAAACTAGCGTTTAGTTGCGTGGAGAAGCACCACACACGGTGAGCAAATGAGTGAAGAAGGACGCACAAACTGCTATGAATGGTTATTTCAGGTACTGAATCTCACTGAAATAATACAATAATATAGAGCCCATAAATTAAAGGTTCCTTCGAGTTCCAAAGGTTGTAACAAAGCAGAAATTTATAATTCAGATTTAAAAAAAAATCACTCGTCATTTGATTACGAACGTCAATTATATTTTATGCGTAGAACTTCATAACAAAAACGGTATGTGAGCAAAACTTTAAAAAAACAATGCCGCCGAACTCATTAAGGTTGTTCCCGAGCTTCCATTCACTGCTCCTGCCCAACTTAGCTGTAATTTACTCACACCTATATAAAAGTGATAGCTAAACAAAGTAGTCGGCATAAATAAATAAATAAACATACGAAAGAGCGCATATAAATGTTCTTGCACTACCGGAGTATCCTCGCTAAATCTCGATATGGAAACAGGTACAGCCGGGATATCGTAGTCTATCATACATACGAGCCAAAGTAGTATTCAGGAACTGTGTCGCGTCTCGCTTTGGAGGAGTGCTTTTCCCTTAGCAAGGTAATGCGCTGCGGCGAAGCACGACAGGCAAAATTGCAATGTTTACATTGCGGTTTTCGCTTCTCTGCAGTTCACCACTGCGCGCGGAGAAGCGCACTCAACCAGACTAACTAATCCTTCAGCAGAACAGACGACGAACACGAGAATTATTGCGAAACTTCCGAGTACTGTCAGCCTTTCATACGAAATGCGATCGAATAGTACTCCATTTCAGACGATAGCCAAAAGTTCTGAGAATTCGTATAAGCATATCGTAACGGCCCGGCCGAGCAGCGAGGCCTGACCTATAATATTTTTAGTATCATTAAAGTGCAACGTTGCACCAAAACTAAATTTGGCGCAACGTTGGCGCTAATTTCTCACATTTTGGTAAAATGTAGCAGGATGTAGCAGAGTAAGCACTTTGGCACAGTTTGGCGCAAATGGCACAGCAATCATATCACTGAACTTGTATTTTAGTGTGTGTGTGTGTGGGGGGGGGGGGGACAAACCGCACTCCCCCCCCCCCCCCCCTCGCCGCAGGGCCGGGGAGCGCCGCCCTTGTATACCTTGGGCGCCGCCGGCCAGTGTTTGCCCTGCCCAGTGACGGCTGTTTGAGGGGGGGGGGGGGGGGGAGCAAAGCAGATGCTTTGCCACCCCACTTTGAGAACTGAGGGGGGGGGGGGCACGCGCCCCCCCTAGACCGCCCACCGCCCCCCCTCTTCCCGGGTTGGTACGCCCATGCTTCGCTCTTATGCAGTTAAAAGTTGGTGATTCATACTGATTAAAAAGCGCGACAGGACAACGGACACAGAAAGGAGACACAGACACACCGCCACTTACAACTGAACTTTATTTCCGCTGCAGCTCGGTATATGTTACCGGCAGCAACACAAACAAGTTAGGAAGATATAAAATACATCGTAAAAATCTTTAAAAACAACATAAAAAGACTAAAATTCCTGCATCACTCATGCCGTCATATCAGGACACCTCGGTGTGCATTGCCGGGATTGTGGTCGTACTCCGATTTTCACAGATTGTACAGTAGTCAACAAAAACAGAAACAAAACCACAAGGGAAATCGCTAGATTAGGGCTGCAATGTGTCAGCGCACCCTTTTTATCGTTATCCGAAAAAGAATCGCAGTTTCTTGACCAAGCATGACTAGTTTTGGGTGGGTGCCGATGAGTGATGCAGGAATTTTAGTCTTTTTATGTTGTTTTTAAAGATTTTTACGATGTGAATTTTATAGCTTCCTAACTTGTTTATGTTGTTGCCGGTAACATATACCGAGCTGCAGCGGAAATAAAGAGTTGTAACTAGCGCTGTGTCTGTGTCTCCTTTCTGTGTCCGTTGTCCTGTCGCGCTTTTTAATCATTATGACTTTCTGAAATGTTAAACAAGAAAACGTGTCGTGCGTATTTTGCACTTCTAATGGGGTATCCACACGAAGGAGAAATCAGCCCCTTTCCTCCGCGGAGCGCGCATCACGTGAGACATACGTCATCCCTTTTTGACTCCTCGAGGCGCCGTTCTCCTCCGTGGCGGAGGCTTTTCAGCACGAAAGCTCCGCAGGAGGGCGGCGGAGCCAATGACGGAGTTTTCCCGGTTGTTGACGTCACGACGTCCGTCTGCGGAGTTCTCCTTCGTGTGTGTGGTAAACTAAGTAGCCCCTGCTGAAGCCTCGCTAGTACCAATCCGTCGTTGATGGAAAGTCTTATGATTATGAGCCTATTTACCGTAATCCCATTATTCACAGAAGAAAAAAAATACCATCCGGAACTAGATCCCCAAAACAAAATTATTTACCCGATCGGACAGCAGACTAAACCGTTTCACCTCGTACAGCACAGCGGCCAGCCACCCCAACTGCAACGCCGACCCACGGAACAATGGGGCAACGCCACCCGATCGCGGACAGCGCGAGAACGAACGACCGTCCGTCGCGGCTGTCCGTCCACACAGTCCATCGGGAACGGTTATTACGATGACCGACCATCTTATCCGGCAATCTCGGCGAA